ATATGAAATTAAAGTTACAGGTTACTTAGTTCAAAGGTTTGAGCAAACGGCATTAGCTTAAAGCATATACATAAATATGTTGAAATAGAGTGGTGAAAGCTTTGAACTACTACCATTGGTAGTCTACTTTTCAAGAGGAAGCGAAACTTCTAATAGTGTTTGCAAGTGATTTAGAACGATTCATTAGTAGTATGAAACACCGCAGACTAAATCGTTGCTATTTTCCCAATATTTTCTATTATATCCAGTGAAAAATTAACTACACGCAGGCCTATAGTTTGGAAACTTTTGTATGTGTCACGCTAATTTCAACTAAATCAAGCTAAGGAAAGCGTGTCGAAACGCACGCACTTGCCGCACACCCCTAACTATTGAGCTATATTGTGTTTTTCACCATTTAATCATTTTTTTTTATTTGTTTTAGAAAGTGAGGTGTTAATAACAGAGGGCGGCATTCGCACGAAGAGCTCAGAAATTTGCTTTTGCTTTATTATTTAGAACTCTACATATTTACCAATATATTCATCCTAARAAATATATATAAAAAAGAAGTTATTTTTGGATAAACAAAAATTAAGAAATCTGTAGTGAGTTCTTTTGAGAAATAATAACACAAGTGAAAGTTTTTATTGATTTTATTTATTTAATTAAAAAACAAAATCTTTTTACATAAGTTAATAAAATTCTTATAATTAAGAATTAAAATCACTCAGATGATATTCACCTGAAAAAATTATAAAAGTATAACGGGTTTTTCAATGGGAACGCTACAAAAGTAGACCAATAAGGACAGCAAAAGAAGCCATATCTTTCCCCGTAGTTTTAACATTTCTCTTCAGTAAGGCCCAGTACAAAATGTTCTCCTGCCAGTGAGACAAAGAAGTGTRTCGAGAATATGGCTGCCGCTTGCACATCAATTGAAGAAGACCCAAATCAGTGTCTTGCATGTCGTTCTAAGCGAGGCATCTCTGTAACGTCGTTGTGACGAATTTTCCGAAAAACTCTTATTCTACAACCATTCGTAAATTGGGCTGGAGAAAACTTTTTTGCGCTCTTATTTCAAAACCCATTATTAAATGGTTGAATTTTTTTACMTTTCTAATATTTAATGGCAACTAAAATAAATAAACAATTCCAAATTTTTAATAGGTTATGTTARATGGCTGATCTAGAGAGATCGCACGTGGAGTACTATATGTGGTTCTTTTGTAAGGCCATGGAAAAGAAGAAATCCTGCAAAACGATAAGTAGCCAAGACAGATTTGACAAATAGAGGACAGTCAAGAAGGAAATGTAAAGTTGTTTCTAACCCATCTTTTTCCAAAAAGCTCGGTAGGTGGCTTCTGGTAAGATTCCTAGCCTTATGGCATGGACGCCAATAGGGCAATGGCCTGTCAAAAGCCCCCACAAATAGGGAGAGGTTAGCCTTACTGAGGTAAAGGAGATCACTAGATCTCTAGCAATCGATCTTGCGTCAAAACGCATTTGCGATAGCGCATATACCGACGTTGACCTAACTCTGACCAAGTTTCCGCGAAGCCAAGCTATCTAGTAGTAGAACACAAGAGGATAGGGAAGCACCAACCCGCTCCCAATCTACTGATAGCGGTTCTAGGAAAGCTTATCAGACCCCTTTTGCCAATGGCTCCTCTGCAGCAGTATGAGGCARTCTATGGCTTTTAACCCTCTCTTCGAAAATCGGCTYCCATGAAAGGTTTCTATCCAGGATGATATTGACTTTTCATTTGAAAATTAAATATTGCTCACAATTATTCAGTAAGTGAAGCAGATTCCTCTTTTACAATCTGTATCGAATTCCTTAAATCTAATAACAGGCTTTTAGGAATGTGCATCTTGAGATTTGWTTGAGTTGAATAGCTTATTAAAAAGTTTTAATTTACATCAATGCAATATCCTCTGACTCTTAAACTGCCGTGTGGAGAAATATAAGAACAAACGGCTTATCTTCTGACCTGCACAATAACAGAGTTATCACTGTTTTATATTGGAKAAATATTTTGTTTATATTTATAAGAGTTATTAGAATAGCGATGAAAATCAAATTCTTTCAAATCTATACTTCAAAGTTTGAGTTATGGAATTGTATGTTACTGTTAAGCGCTTACTTCGTGCTTTTGCAAGTGTTTAATTCCAAAATGGAAATTAGCCTTGTATATCAATCGATAAATGTTGTTCAAGGAATAATTTTTGTAGATTTTGTCATACCCTAAGGCATGCAATTCATCGCTTAATATACCTTAATAGTCTTTAAATACCCACATATATTATACTAGACAGCCAAATACAGATAAGCCAATAGAGTGAGAATAACAAGCCAATACCAAAAATCGTATTAAATCATTTGCACTTCATTAARCCGTGGCATTGTCTTGCTCACATTGAGCATAACTCTCTTCCACCTAAGTAGCCAATTGAATTCACAAATCACGCCAATTGCTTCTCACAGCTGACTACAATGCCTCTGTGTGCGTTGTTGATAACTGTTTCATTATGCATTGGCATGAAAATTACYGAGATTTGTAGCAAAATACCAAAATATTCGCATTGAAAAGTTAATCGGCCGGCAAATGCTCATGCTTCGATTTTGTGTTTGTTTGGGTAACAATTCAAAATTTGGCTGGGCACAATTTCATTACATAATTCACCATAGGGATGTCTTCATGTAAATGACTTCAATTGAAAACGAAAATTACATACATATTTACATACTACACAACACATGACTCCTTCGCCACAATAAATCAACAATACCCTGTACAATTSGCAAGAGAGCTTTAGCCAGTAACTACAATTTAAGCACTTATCGCTTTTCCCACTACTTATAAGCAAGTCTGTATTATATACGTATGTACTTATGTGTATGTATTGTGAGTAGGTTTTACGCTCCAAATCCTTTGGTTTCTCTTTTGATGTTAAGCATTTTGTGGTGAATATTTGTGTGTTGTATTTGTATCGAGGCCAACTTGTGGATAGTWAGGGTCAAAGCCTTGACTGCACACCACTCTTTTCTTTTGCATTCACACCCACWTACTATATGTGTATTGATGTACATGCGTGCGTGTTACATGCGTCCGATATCTAAAGTGTTGACAACAAAATATGAGTGTAAAGGCTAAGGTTATCTGTCTGTTGTTGGTTACACTTTGTGCCAAGTTGCGTGTTGGCTTTGGGGGGTTTTGTGGGTGTTTGAAGCGCACCGTGACTTGAGTACGCATAAAGCACGAAAATGATATCGTAGCTGTTTTTACCATATTTCAYTGTCCTGCTGTCTTGCTGCCTTGGCGTCTTGAGTGTTCTGCTGATGCGCTCGACTTCAAAAGCAGCCCAACACTTCCACCTCCGCAGTGTGTCACACCATGTCGCCTGCTTRCATTTGTCGTTTACAGCATTTATGACAAATTGGGCAGATTGTCATGGCTTAGGGCATTTAAGACTTACCAAAATGCTTGGATGGTGGTGAAAACTGAGCAAATATTTACATAATGTACTTTTTATGTAAAACAAAAATAATATTCGATGCACACTTGTGGTCTTAAAGGTATGAAAATTTATTTATTTTGTTTGTAGGAGAACAATTATATTTTTGGAATAATATACCATTATACATTGTGCCCCGGAAAATGTGCTATAAATAAAAMGCAAAATATTTATTTATTCATCAATATTTATTTYGTCGCCTTCGAAGTAATATCCACTAGAYATAATACACGATTTTTCYAGTCCTCGAAGCATCTTTCATAAGCACTTTTTGGATGGCCTTCAGCTCCTTCAGCGAATTTTGTTTTATCGGAAAACGGGCTTCACATAGCGGCAATTACAGTTTGGGGAACAAGAAAAAACGCACACGGAACCAAATATGGTGAATATGGTGGCTGATCGGTCACAATCGTGGCCCGATGCTATGATGCATTATCATCGTGTAAAATCCATTAATTGTTCTTCCACAATTCCGGCCGTTTTCGATGGATGYTCTCACGCAAACGTTTCAATACGGCCAAATAGAACTCTCTTTTGATCGTCTCCCCCCAGGAACAAACTGATGGGCCCAACCACAAGTCGAGCACGAACGGGTTCCACAACCTAAATATTCACCAAAATCATTCGAACGGACTCTCGAGAGATGTCAAAGTCTTAAGTTACTTAAGTTACTTTCAGTTTGATTAAAAATCTTTTTATAATAATATTATTCTAAAATCTGTCTAACACACATATATCAATAATTTTTTTTATCCAACCTTATTTAAATGGTTCCYAACCAATTTTGCACAATACTTTGCTCCTAGGCAATCTCGATTTTTATTATTTCAGTGAAATTTTCGAAGATCGATTTCCAGAGGGTGGTATATATTTAGCATCAAATTAGAACTCTCATATATGTACAATTTAATTTGATTTAATTTTTAGTTAACAAAGTATAAAATGTTAGCAAATATATGGCTTAATGCGGTAATTTCATTATTCATTGCCTCTATGTGAAARCAATATGAACAGACTTCATTCATTCAGTTTTACCTGCTATTTCTTTGCCCATTGTAGGACTTCATTCACAGCTTTTTGGAGATTAGTATAGAACTCGTGTTCACTACTACCAAACAGCAAGCAAYGCGGTATCATCTGCAAATATTGCTGTTGTATAATTGTCATCTTTTGGCAGGTCGTGCCTGAAAGGCCCAACACACAACTTTGTGGAACTCCTGCTTTTATTTCMMTAAGAATAGAATATTTGTGTCCTTGTTTAACGCGAAAGTAGCGATCTGATAAATATGATTTTATGATGTCATAATGCTGTCTCGGTAAACTTAGTTTCAGTTTCGAAAGCAGTCCTTTGTGACAAACTTTATCGAACGCTATTAATTGTATCTTGGTGAAAAGTACTTCCCTTAAGAGACGCAAATCTCTAGCATTCCACACGCCATTTGTATATTTTACGCCTCAAATTACTTAGAAAATATAGTAATTTTCACATTCCTCTGTCACAGACCAAAGCCACAAAAACTACAAATTAATTTATACAAAGCTTGTGGAGCAAAATTTTCTTGGTTTGCACAAATTGTCGAAAATAATATAAAAACAAGAACATAAACAATTGCCTAAGTCAACTAGTGCGTCGGTGAAAACAAACAAAAGCCACTAATTAAAACGAAAGCAACAAAAAAGAACAATTAATTTTAATGACGACTTGCTACAACTGAGATTTGCTTAATGCGATTACGTCTGTTGCGTTCACCTGCAGTGAAACGGAACCTCCAAAAATAAAACCACCAACAACATACACCACTACTCATTATTATTAGCGGAAAAAGTAAAAAAAAAGCTGACAACTTGACACACGCGAGTACCTAAAGTACGACAATCGCGACACAACAAAACGACGCTATTCACAGCGAGTGAAAAGCTACATCAAAGTACTTGCTGAATTGTTCTGGTGAAAAAGTGTGACCGAAGTGCGGCAATCCACGACGCAACTGATTTATTAACTGCTTTGAGCTACTTGCGGTGCTTTGTGCAATCTTTCGTAAGTGTCTTAGCGCTCATAAGCCATAATTCGTCTTCATCAATAATTCTTTTGCTGCGCAACAGTTTTATGAGTAATAGCGCCATGGTTGCAGTCGCCATTTGTTGCATACTGGTCCTGCTGGCCGTCTTCATTGTGATCATCATAGTCGTTGGTCAGACGATGGGYGAGCCCAAGTGAGATAAGCTTCAACTGGGACCCGGAAACTTCCCAGATGGATAACAAAGGCACTCGACGAATTGTTAGTTGTTACCGAATATCAAATATCCACTGCGACTATTGGCCAGAGCCCAGCCTCACACATTCACATTGCTAAATTTCATAAGATTCACCATCGATGACCGACGAGTGCCATTGATGATGGCCCCCTTTGGCAGGCAGCGCCGTAAGCAACAACATCACTTACATCGATTTTCTAAAACACATTTCGGAAACCAAGCGTCGTCATGCGGCGTAACCAGCAAGCTATCTGCATCATGTGCCACTATACGCCGCGTCATCGGCTTCATTCRTATACCATCGCACCCAACGTCAGAACAAAAATTGGCTGTGATGTGAAACTAAAGAGACATATGTATGAAATGTACTCATAGACAAATTTGACACTAAAAAATTCAAAAAAAAATTGAAAAAAATTTAAATCGGCAAAAAATTGAGTGTGCAAAAATAATTCAAGTCAATCACAAATACAACAACAACACATTATAACAATAATTATGAATAACAAAAGATTTTAGAAAAATTTAAAGCAAGCAAAACAAAAAGCGCGTTAAATGTGAAATATACATATTTATATTAGTAAATTAAATTAAAGTCAAGTAGTGTTTTTGATAAAGGTGTTAGAATTTCGATGTTTTTAAAGAACAAACCAATCACACAAACGATATATACTCCCTCTAGTATCTAGATATGTAAACAAAAGTATGCATTTTTCTAAGACAAAAGTGCAAAAACAACCAGAAATGGAGCAGCAACCAAAAACTCTCTCAGCATTATGCCTCCCAGACCTGAAGATGAAGAGGGAACCATATGAAATCAAAGTTGTCGCACAGCTAAAACATTCTGAGGAATAACTGGCGTTCCCCGACGAGTAACTATAGCAAAGAGCACAAGAGAAAATTGAAGAAATGTATGGGCGATTGTGGAACGACGAAGTCCAGGGACTGGGGGGCAAACAAACAATAAAACTGGGCAGCGTTTACTATAAGCGAACACGCAAAAAATAAATAAAAATAGAAACACAGGAGTTGGAGCTCAACTATAACTCAAATCGCAAACTAAATTCTAATATCCTGTAAGAAACTACAATAGAAATTTATTTTTACAACAATAAACTTCTGCACACAATATACCTTAATAAAAGAAGTGATTTTGTTTCAAACTTTAAACTTTTATCATAAAATGAACATTTTAATTGTTGCAAAGCCAAATCATATCATTTGTAACGATGAATTTCCCAACTCAGCATCCAATTAAAAATGCCAAAATTCAGATGCCATAATATTATAGTACAATACATCACAAGAGCTCCTCTAAATAAATGGCAGTATTATAAACGCTCTCTATAAGAAACGAAAAAATAATAATAAACAAACCAAAAACTTTCTGAAAGTAATATAATTAAATACATAAAGCGACAAATAAATGAAATTTTTATAATAATTTTTATATGCTTTCAAAAGTTCATAAAATATTTAAAAAACACACAACAATAGTTAAAGCAAAACAAACCAACAACTGTGCAGCAGAACAAGCCAAATAGAGTTAAGTGATTATACCATATAACGTACAAAACCAATTAATAACAGTAAATAGTTCCAGGTTAATGAATTAACAGACAATTCAGTGTTTTCATATGTTTACAAATAATGTTCGTCGTTTAACCGTTGACTAATACACCATGTCGTATACGTAACCCATACAGTTAGTGTATTATTATTATATATGAATATGTATATGGTATGTGTTTACTGTAGTTTTTCTACAACAAATCTGTAATTAACAACAAGAAAATAAGTGAATAAAATAACAGTAAATCAATAAGTGAAATATTGTGACACATTTACGAGTATATTGAAAATATGTTGACTATCCCAAAGAGCTCAAAACTTTTTAACCCAAACAACTATCACTAACTTAAACGAACAAGTTTAAATGATATTATACACACATACATATATTTTATAAATGTCAAATTAAAGTAAATAAGGACATAGATTTAGCAGTAAATGGATGATTTGGAACAAAACATGTCTACCAACGGTATATAACAACAATAAACACTATGATAATATTCTAAATTAACGCATATAAGAAGAACGTTTGAAAGAAAAAGACCAGAGAATGAGCAACTATGTGAAGCGATTGCAAGGAAAGGAATAACAAAGCAAATACAAATAATAATTTTATTAAAAAAGTAAAACGAAATGAAACTAGAAACATTTTTAAAAAGAAAACTAACGATMTTGTCATTTTACAACTACCTATATAAGTGTGTGTATGTAAATACATAWTTTTCAGACTAAATTTGTCAACTGTGTGAAATGTAGTTGAATGCAAATTTGAGAAATGTATATTATATATGTGAAAACGTATCTGTATTGGAAAGACCCCGTTCAAAGTATTGATGTGAACTGCCTATACATAACCTATAGTAATAAATCAGAAATCACTTAACGCCAAATTAATTCTTAGAGCTATATTAAAATTGGCTAAAAAACGTATGTGTGCAAAGAAACCAATACTTTAAAGTTTAAACTCGCGCTAAAACMAAAATATTTTAACAWAATTTAAATTATTTATGCAAATCACTGAAATACATTAACCGACGATCGCATAAATCGCATATATTTCGAATCGAATTAAGTATTCCATTACCAAAATGTAAGACTTTAACAAAAAAAAGGTAAGTATCGCTCGTACTAGCAACTTAATGATTTTTATGGCTATTTAATTGATTATTTTAGCGTACTAATTCAGTGAACAAACTMATTATGTATTTAAAATTCAAAAATAGGAAATATGTAAAATATTTATATAGTCGGGCCATTAACTTTCAAAGTGATTTTGTTCATTTTATGTAAAACGACACGTAGCTTTCGAACAATATTTGATCGTTTGTGGTGAGAGAAAATTTCGAACCCTACAATTTTATAACTTAATAGCTGACCTTGCAGRCGTTGTCCTGCGTGAAATTATGTGTTTTGAAATGAAAAGAAAGTTGAATTTCTATTGTGTTGGAAAATCATTTATTTGCGATTTTGCTACATTTTTTCAAWGTAACGCAGCTTGATAAGGAACATTTTTTGGTTTCTCTGTTTTGGTGTGTAAATGTACAGAAAAGATGGTTTCCAACTCGTCAACACGCCGCGTATATCTGGCCGTGTGAAAAACATGGCATTTTTTTCTCTCTTCTAGCGACTATCCTCGTATCTTATTGATTATCATCGCAAAGGCAAATTTCACTGGAAACTGAGTACCAAGCCTCTCCAAAGAATTTAGAAATTCCACTGGATAATTCACGATTTCRTCTTCATTGATAAGACGATCGGAATTCGCCCATTTCCAATTCTTAGCGATTACAATGTAAAATGTCTTCGGCAATATCATTTTTGTTTGTATCCCATAATTTTCGTGGATTTGAAGGCTGATATGTTGAAATGATCGTCGCGAATAGTGTGTGATCTTCAGTAGCATGGTAGCTATCACAGCGTCCACCGTTTGATGCCCGTGATTGTAATTGCTGGCATGCTCCTCAAAAAGTTTCACACACCATAACATTCACAGTAGTATTTTTAATCTAATAAAAAAAGAAATATTTACATATATAATTGCATATATGTACCAGCTCCCATGCATTGTCATGCACTAAGTTTGCCAGTTGTTTCCACCCGTTATGCATTTCAATGTCAGAGTACTCATAAATATCGATGATAACTGGAAAAATAGAGGACTACAGAAAACAAGAGAAAAAAATGTCAATGGACCAATAACTCTTTAAAACAAAAAAGGGCAGTAGATCAGGGTTACGATGCTRCATTATACGCCGACATATACAAATCAGTGTGCTCATTCATTCATAGATGGCCACTTGAGCACAGACACGGACGTGAGCCTCTTCAAAATGGCACTGACAGCGGCTGAATTTAAAGCCTTCTCCAATGCCGTCTCCCCCCAGCAGCCGTGCCCCCACAACCCTATCACGGCAAMCCTGCCAATTAATCAATAAAATCGCTGGCAGTCAACAAGAGAAGAGCTGCCTGCTGCCTCGAGCTCAAACACGGCTTCCAAGTAAACAACCCAGACTGGCAGTCATGCGAAACTACGGCAATGCGTTTGTGGGCGGATAGTTGCCGTGCGTGTACGTGTGTACAATGTGATACTTTCCAGTTGCTCACATTGCAAATTATGTGCAGTTTACAAAAACAAAAAATGCCAAAAGCGCCATCAATGCCGGTGCGCAGTGTTGAAACAACATATCTGGTGTTCACACTACTGTTCACACATCCGTTATCCATGCTGGCGATGTGCGAGATGATTAAAGACATCAATTATGTGCTGATGACGAGAGGATGATGGAACAGTGAAATCTTGAAATTTTGTAAAGAAAGCAGCGCAACTGAATGGACAACAATGTCGATYGAGGGATGTGCCCTGCAGATGACATAATCGTGTGACAATGTTGATTAATAACGATAGCGCATTGTGCGGCCCTTCTACACTAATAATTCTACACTTAAAGGCAAGGCGCACATACATCTAAGCACACYGGCATGTACACATAAAGAGGTCAACATTACACTGGCATCTTTGAATTTCAAAGTTGCCAGCATTTACACTTTGCATTTAAGTTAATTGGAAAATTACTTATTAAATTAAATGTGTGGGTGTTCAAGTAGGCGGTGGGAGGTTAGTGATTGTGCTGCTGTAAAATGGCTGCTTATCTCTAAGTGGTTGTAGAGAAACGCTTGTGTATTGTCAAAGATCAGATTTGCATGATGTKTCAAAGGCAAGTTGACTGTTAGCTATGTGCTTACAATTTTGACATTGAAAATGCGCTCAATGAAAGGGTTCATGGATGTGAGGAACTAAACAGGGATCTTTTGTTTGCTGGCATCTTTGTATATTGTTGGTGTATTCTAAGAAAATGCTTCGGTATTCAGTAKCATGTTGAAGATGGTGGCTAAGTATTAGCGAGACCATTTTGATGCTTTGAAACTAGAAAATATCAAATATTTAATTATTTATTTTGATGTCCCGAAAACGGGTGTATATAAATTCACATCGATCGATTGAAAACGGTTTCCATGTAGCGGCAATTGCAGTTTGGAGAACAAGAAAAAATCAGACGGAGCCAAATCTGGTGAATACGGTGGTTGATCGATGGTGTTCATTGCGTTTTGTGGCTTTAAATTCGGTCATCGTGTGGAAACCAAGAATTATTTTTCTCACAATTCCGACCATGGCSAGATAGAACTCCTTATTAACCGTCTGTCCCTCYGCAACAAATTCAAGATACACCAAACAACGAATATCGAAAAACAAAACCTCAATTGGATTTTTGGGCGGCCTTGGCGTGGTTTCTTTTGGTTTCGTTTTGTTTTTTTGTTGTTGAGTTGTTTGCATGTCAAGCACATGAAYCCACTTCTCATCGGCAGTTACAATGCTCTTCGTGA